GGCTACAGAGATCTTTTCCCCTGACAGAATTTTCATCTGTATTTCAGTTGATATGACTGCAGCTCATTTATATAAATAATTCTCTATCTGATTAATAATTATATTTTATACTTCCACAAGAACTCTTTTTTTTCTTTTTACAGTAAAATTTTCTTTCATTTCCCTTTGCTAAATAGTCAGAATTCCTCCCCGAAACTTTGAACTCTGCCATTACTCCATGATTTTTTGATGTAATTTGAAATCACTAGTATTTTAACAGGCTTGATCTGTGTATTAATGATTCTTTAATTAAATCAAGCACATTTTACTGCAATTTACATCTCTACAAGACCAAACTTCTTGCCATGAAAGACGGAGTGCCTTCCTTGTTTTGGGATATTAGTAGGAGATGACTGGGGTCTGACATTTCCCATCAGCTGGGTCCAGCTCAGAACAGAGCAGATCAGTTCCACTCCAGACAAATCTGCCTGTGCAGATAACCAGGATTAAATGCATTTTTACATTTTTATTGAAGTTAGAAGCAAATGTATGTATGATTTTCCTTTTGAAAGAGCAGCATGTTTCTGTGTCCATAGATCTCCAGCCAGCATCAGCAGAGATTCAGCATCAGGGGATGATAAATCATCCCAAAAAGGATGTGGCTGCACTAAAATGAACTTACACAGACGAGAAATTCCTTCTCCTGCACAGATAAATTACAGCCATTCACTCCCAGGCTTTTGCTACAGCAACACTTCCCTTATCTGCAAAAATGCATTAAAGCACTCACAAATCTTTCCCACAAAATGCTCCTCAGCACCTGACCAAGCTGGTTTTCCTCATCATTGTGAAGCATTTCCATTGTTTGTTGCTTATTAAACAGGGAAATTGAGCCCATTAGGGCAGCAGCCTCACCCTCAACTGGGACTCAGTCCCTGAGTGAGGCAGCTCCCAGCACAGAGCTGCTGGTGGGTCTGGAATCTTCACCCTGCTCTCAGCCTACATGCCAGCCAACAGAGAGAAACAATTCTTCACAGAACTGCACACTCCCACTTTGCTTTCCAGCCCTGTTAACATAAGTTTTCTAAATATCTCAGTCTGTCACTACCAGTTGCAAGGCATCCTTTCACAGAAGTGTCATCTGCCATTATGAAAAAAGCTGAGGGCTGATTTCACACCTCTGATTGTCAAGGATTTTTTTAAAAAGCAAATAAAGCTCTTTACTTAAAAAATAATTAAAACTAACTCTTCATTAGCAGTTCAAATTGCCTAGGTAAATTTGGTCACAGCTCTAATTTGCACACAGTTTTATCAAGCTGCTTCATTTCATGCTTGCAGAGGATCGCCTTCTGATTATTTCATTTCCACAGACATCTGTTGCCTTTCAACGATGGCAGCACCCTTTAAAAGCTTTAAAAGCAGCTGGAACACCCCAATGGCACTTTGCCACTGATGCTCTAGGGGCTGCAGGACAGGATTTCACTGCTGCAGCGATTCTGAGCAGTGGGAAGTGATGGGCAATGAGCTGCTGCACCTGGAGGCTCTGTCCTGCACCCAGGGAATGCCCAACCCCAAATCTCATACACGAACAGTAAAAAAATAATGGAATATTTTTGCCAGTTCTTCTGGAGCCACCTAACTTGGAGTAAAGAACAGAGTTCTTGTAACTTGGAAACTTTTTGTCATCTTGGCAGTGGTAATCAACCTCCACAACTCTTCCTGCTTTTCTTTGCATTCTGCCTATCAATACATTACCCAGGTAAATGTGAGGTTTTAAAAATGAACCCAGGGGTTTTAAATAACAATTTTCCCCATAATCACTGGTTTTCAGACTTCTATTTTCACTGGCCCTCTGTTTGACCCTTTGTTTCCTAATTCATTGGGGTTTTATCAACACTGAGCACAAGTAGCCTTCCAGCTTGACTGCAATCCTTTTGCTGTTATCACATCTCTTTACAGAACCGCTTGATTTTTTTTTTATTTTCTTTTTTTGCTCAAGGAAAGAACTGAAAAGTCACTAATATTTCTGCTCTGCAGGAATCAGAAAAGGCTATGGGTCTGAAGTGGACTCTGAATTTCTATAAATTATGGCAGGTTTTGGATGGTGTGCACCTCACTGATTTGGGTTAGAAAATCCATTTGGGCTAAAAAAATCCCCACCAATCTCCTTCATCTGCTTTTCCACATCTGCATTTTCCAACAGCAAATAAACTATTAATAATAAAAAATAAACTGTCATTGTCTGAAATTTCTGCCTTAGTCTGATTTATTCAAATCTCAAGAGAAAACCAAATATGCTTGAGAGCATATTTATACAATGCAACACCTTTTGCTCCCACTAAATAGGGGCTCTGGGCTCCCTCTTATCTCAGCAGCCCAAAGCAATTCCACAACGTGCCCAGAGCCTGCTTAAGCCCCTCTTCAGAGCATCATTTAGCAGTTTTGTCAACAAGCTCCAGCAAGCCCCAAAGTAAAACCATTCCATGTAAATCCATGGGTGTACTCTGACCTGCAGAATTCCTATCAGGATGCTCTTTAACAAACCTCTCCAGGAGGAAAAGGAGTTGGTACACGATTTTCTAGCACAGTCTGGCTTTCTGGGTATAACATCACCCCCGACTCCTCCTGCTCCTCTTCACAAGCAGCTTTCACTTCAAACTGAAGCTGACTGACATTCCTTGGGCTTTAAGAACACAAACCACGAAGTGCCATAAGAAATAAACTCATAAACCAAGTGGATTAATAAGTTTATTTCAGAGGGTGAGGGTGGTGTTGTTAATACGAGCTGCCTTACATTCCTCTTGCCAGTTTGAGTTCCTTTGCTAAAAACCAAATTTTAAACTCATCTGAAAACACAAATTCCACAGAAATGAGCTCCACTGAAAAGACTGCCAGGCCCTGATCCTCAGACAGATGTTCTCACTCTATTTTAAAATATTTTCTAACTTTTACTAGAAATAAAATACTTAAACCATAGAAAGAAGGGATTAGCACAAACAATGAACAAAGTTGTCTGTGTAGAGTTTGATACTCTCTAATTTAATCATGTCCTCTAGTTATGAATCCAGACAACTCCTGCAAGTTTTTCAGCATTCCTCCAGGAGAAAGAGGGCAGCAAACCCAAATTTTCAAACATTCAGTGAAAAAAAAAATAAAATAACAGAATAAATATTCTTATCTACTTTAAAATATTCTGAGGAAATAAATCAGTGCTCAGGCAGAGCATCCCTTGGTGTAGCTGAATGACTCAAACAGATTTTATCTTTCCATCCTTCCCCCACCTCTGATTACACACTTGATATTCTGATGGTTTGCAAAGAACTTGTATTAATTCACAATGATCTCTTTACTTGTTTGCATTTTGCTTTGAATTTTTCCTTTCAGAACCACAGTGCTGGACAGGGGGAAGCTCAAACAAAACCACAAAACACTTCTTTGAGAGAAATTCAAGGATATTTCAGATTAATCACCTTTCAGTGTACCAAGGAAATCAGGGAGAAAACCCTGTTGTCTTCCTGACTCCATGACACATTTTTATTGGAAAATAATGGGTTGGATTTGAAACAGAGTGATCAGGTTGAGGGTTCTCCTTCAGAACGTTCCAATCCCATTTTGGGTGAGCTGCTGAGCAGAGTGCAGGATCACAGCTCAGGAAGCACCACAGCCTCTCAGGCTGCACATTCACAATGCTCATTGCTCATTGCTCACCTGCTAGGTGACATTTTTTGTGCATAACTTCAAAGAGCCTCCTGTAGGGAAATGGGTTTGTCTTAATTTAAGTGTGTCTTTTGCCAGATCAGATATGAGGGCCATTTGTGGTTTGCTACATTAAGTTGAAAAGTCTACTATGATTTTCCAGGAGAAAAAATATTCAAGGTTTATACTCAACACATTAAGGTGGAAATCCACTGATAAAATAAGAAACAGCTGGCAAATGAAGACAAGGAACAACGTTAAAAAGAGAAACTGCAATGTTTTTCTTGCAAGGAGGACGTCAGCAACTCCCATAAATCCTGTGCAAGTGCTTAGCACACATTTCACTGCAGCCCCAGATAGGAAGGAGATGTTTACGTGTTGAAAACCAGCATATGGTAAATTTTAGCAGTGCTGCTTGAGCAGTAGGACCCATCACCAAACTGGGAAACTCTCCCAGAGGAGGAAGGAAACAGCACGGGAGATAAAAATGGTGATAATTACACTGCAGGAGGTGAAAATGAGGGGTCAGGGCTGGCAGCCAGGACTGTCCCCAAGCCTGTGTCCCACAGGGGGAGGGCACCTTGAGATCCCTCTGCCAGAGATGGACACAATCCCTGTGCGGGGACACAAAAGACAGCATGTACCAAGCACTGAGCGCTTGGAATTCTGCTGCTCCTCTGGATCAGCATGGCCAGAGACGAGTTCTGTGAGTGCACAGTCCCGGGGCTGGATGGAAAACATGAATTGACAGGTCCTCTATTTATTTTATGCATTTTGGGATAGGGCGAGGCAGTTGTTTTGTGGGTTTAGCAGATCATTTGTTGGGTATTCAATGGAGAGAAACATTCCTATTGATAAGGAAAAAAACCTTTAGTAAGATCTTTCTAGTTGATGTACATTTCCTATGTAATATTTTCATATCATCAGAATCTTCTGATGCCCACTACTAAAAATGGAGTTCAATGGTATTTTCCATTGACCATTTGACAATAAAAAGATATAATTCTGTAGTACCATAGTGACAACTTCCCCAAAAGATCTTCCTTTGTCCAAACAAAATTTTCTATTCACAATTCAAATGCATACACAACATTCAGACAGCATTTCTACTGAAGATAAATGACAAAAAGTCCATGCAGAAAGCAGACAAATTTCAATTACGTGAAAAACAAACACTTTTACCATTTCCAATGGTTCTTGAAATTTCCTAGCACAGTGGCTGCAATTGAGTCTTCAATTTAACTGCAGATCTTTCAGGAGCAAATGCGCATTCAGAAAATGCACGCTATCAACACGGAGCAGAGATGTTATCTCTGAGCACTCACCTCGTAATTGGCGATCGCTTCTCGATCGAGGGTTCGGGTCACCGAGACCTCCCCGTTCATCTCATTGATTCTAAAAATTCCTTTTGGGTCTTGATCTACTCCCTTCCCAGAGAGGCGAAACTTCACTCCCTCTGTCCCTTCACTTCTGATGACCTGCATGGCAGGAAACAAGAGATGGGCCACGTTGTAAAATCTTTTAAACTCATCCTAAAACCACAAAAGTCATTTCGGTCTTTCAACTAATGTTGAGCTATGTTCCCTGCCAATAAAATGTAAAATCATAAAATATGATTTCAATCATTCACAAGACACTGTGCAATTTTTGTGTTAAACCCTGGAAAAGCTACTCATGTTCTTGGCCAGTTCCTATCTTATTTTTAGTGTCTTCAATTTCACTACTTAAAGTTTCTGTTATTCCATCACTGAATTCACTCTATGCCTAGAATTTGACATTTCATTTAATGCTATTTCTTCTTTCTAGTTAAATTGATAGAACAGCTACAAACTTGCAAAAAAAAGCATTTTGTATTGATTGCCAAGATGCACTGTTGTTTCACAACAACCCTTACCATACCAGAGAACTATCACACAATATTTTATTAGTCATTGTGAAGTCATTACACTCTACTTTCAGGCTGGGCTTTTTTCCCCCCCAGTTCACTTTCAAACCCTTCCTTTTCCAGGATTTTAAATCAAGGGGAAAATCTCTGCATGAAAATATCAGAATATCCTGCCCAAAATACTCCTGAATTAGCTGGAATTAGTCCACTTCCCAAATTCCTACTTATGTATACACACACATCCATAAGTGTAGGGCAACTCCTTGTTACTATCACCTTATTTTGCCATGAGAACAAAATCCTAAAAATCCAATTTCATGGCAGCCTCCCATTAGTGACAGTAACATTTACCAACCTGCAGAGACACACAACGTCAGTTATAAGCTACACACTTTGCAAATTTGTATTTGTACACCAGAATCTGAGGGATTATAAATTAATCTTGCCCTTTTAGGCTGACAATTTTGCCAAGCCATTTCTTCCCTCTGCTCTTCTGTGTTCTTTTGTTTCTAGCAGTTTCATATTGCTGATTTCCGCAGAAACATTAAGTCAAAAATTTATATTCTGGTCTGAATTACAGCTCAGGAAGAGGAAGGGAGAAAGTGGCCTTAGAACTCTGGACCTTCTCCAATTTTGAGATAATAAATATGCAGGGTGTTTAATAATGTCCCTGAGGAAATAAATGTTTGCTGCCCTGTTGCTGTGGGTTGGGCAATGCTGGTTTTTGCAGATTACTGGGCAGTGAGATTTTGATTTAACTCCATAATCATTGTTCTTTTATTTTAACTGAGAAAAAATTGCCACGAGTTATGAAATAGGAAATCAGCATTTTCACAGATAAAGTTTTGCTTTCCAAACCCTTTGGGGAAGGGAGACATTTCAAAGTAAAAACCTGTTTCACCTCTTTTTTTTCTCCCTCCTTCCAACACTCAGAAACACTAATGGCTGAAGTTTTCTTCCTGTGTGTTTTTGAGTAAGTCATGACAAAACACAGAGGCAGACAACACCGCAGGTGACAAAGGGGCAAAGTCACTTTGAGACTTCTGGTTTGGTGATGAAACTTGATCTTAATGGCTCCCACTGAAAAGCTACCTGCTGTTCAGGTCATTTTTGGACCGATTTCTGGTATTTTTTACATCAAGCCTGAAAATACAAGTTTTTCCTAGCATGAAGCTATGCTTGAGATTTTGCGATGTCATGACCATTTCTCACTTTTGTAGGGAAAAGATGAATTGATTCTTTTCTGCCCTGATGTCTGAGACTTCTTATGAGGAAAGTGCACCTTCCCCTATAAGAACAGTGGCTCGAAAGTCCTGAAATCAGCTCCAAGCCAGGACAAAATCAAACTCAAAGGTGTTTATACTACAGCCATTTCCACCAAACATCACTTGTTTACGACAAATTTAATGTGCAGTATAAACACAATGCCCCAGTTGCAACAACTCACAATTAGAAAGAACAATAAATATTAGGCTCTGAAAGGGAATTTGTAAAAAAAACCCCAGATATTCATATGGAAATTTTTCTCCACATTAGATAGAAAAACAAGAATGTAGTAGTAGTAATAGTAGTAGTAGTAATAGTAATAATAATAATAATAATAATAATAAATAACGATGATAACAGTAATAGTGGTCTCTGCAAACCCAGCCAGTGGAAAAATTTCTTCTCAACATCAAATCTGGCAAAGTTCTTCACCTTGAATTTGATGGAGAGACATCCCAATGTGGTGCCTGACAGGTCTGTGCTCCTTGGAGCTGGCACGTCCCACATCTCATCCCAACTCCAGCTGCAAACCCTTCCTCACCACACATGGGAGGAAGAGCGACCAGAGAACAGAGGTTTTCTAAACAACTGGATGAACTCACTCAGCTTTTTGGAGCCTTCAGGGATCTGTCACATTCACAGTGCAACCCTTTGCAGAGCTTTTCCTGTTATCAGTTTATCCTTGTACCAATTTACTGCCCAGCCCCTCCAGGCTGGTTTTGTGACCCAGAGCCCAGCCCAGCTCTCTCACGGCAGCGTTTGCCCAGGAGCTGAGGGCGGCTCACAAAAAGTCATTTTCAGAAGGTTCCTTAAAAAAGCTTAATTAGCCACAAGAGGGAGCCGCGAACTGCCAGGAATGTCAGCGAGAACATTCCCAGCTCCTAATTAAGATGCTTATATAATGGTTGCATAGTTCAAAGAAAGTGCATTTCCCAGTTCACACGCAGCTCAGTACAATGAAAAGTTTAATAAAAATCAGGCTTAATTTGCCATATGGTTTGGTGCTTCAGCAAGAGCAAGGAAGAAAACAGGAGGGTTGTCTGACATCTCCTCTGGCAAGGCTGATTTGGAGCACTGGCACAAACACGGCCCTGTTCACAGGAAAATTTCCTAGCTCACAATGCATTTGCAGAACAATGCTTCCCCAATATCCTGGTGGTGATAAAACAAGGCCAGGCTATTTCTGCTGCAATGTTTACTTGGGGATTTCATTTTTACTTTTTGAAAGTACATAAATGAAATCCCACAGTCACTGCTACCTGGAGCCCAGTCAGAAACAGATATTTCCATAATTTTTTCACAGCTTCAGGAATTTCAGTGCAGGTTCTAATACTGAAAACGTCTGCACCATATGGCAGTGGCTATGTGTTGCAGATAAAGGCTCTGCATTCTTAGGAAATGTTTTTTAAGGCAGCACAGGACCCCACCAGCCACCCACTGGGAATATGGATAAGGCAGGAATATTTCATCCAGCATCCCAATTTCTACCTATTTCATTCTCCCTTGCTCTGAGCTCACAGGTCATTCTGTGGGCAGATGGCTCAGAATAGACACCAGTTGAGCATCCCACCACAACATGGGCTGGGGGAGGCTGTTCCCTCACCCAGGACACAAGGACAGCGCTGGATGGATCTCGGGAGTTCTGCAGTTTATTGCAGCCCCGAGACACATGAAAAGTCTCTTGCTCGCACATTTGAAGAATAAGTAGGGGTTCTTCAGTTCTCGGTCTCAGAGCTGTTTATTGTATCTTATCTGTAAAAGATTTTCTCCTGTCCAGCTGAGGTCTGCTCAGCAGGACACACAGAGGCACTCTGCCTGCCCCCAGTGGTGTTATCTCTTTATACTAAAAACTATGTTTAAAATTACTTTGCAATATCACCCATGTTAGACGGTGAACTTCTATTCTAAACCAATCTCAAAGTGCCAACATCACAGCAGAAGGTGGAGGTGGAGGTGGAGGTGGAGGTG